CATCTTTTCCAATTTTATTAATATAGACTAATAATAATTAATCATTATATTTGGAATAAAAATGGAAGATTGAAATAATATTGATGTGACGTCTGGCGTCTGCATCTAGTGAAATTTTTAGTGAAGGCGAAATTCTCAAATAAACGAGTTGAGAATTTTTATCGAATCTCTAAATTATTTTTAAATTTAAATTTTCTATTTTTTGTTTTGTAAAAAAATCGTAAATTGAATATATATACACTACCGTCCGAAATTGTGCGAACTCTGCTTTTTCAACAACTATAAAACTGTTCAAATCTTCAAAAATATTAAAACTAAAATTTTTTCCTCTTTATTTTATTAAAGTTAATAAAATTCTGAAAGAAATGACACCTTGACAAAAAGAATATGTTAATTTTTCAATTAGATATCTAAGAAAAACCCAATTTTCAATGTTTTTACTATTTTTTTTATTTCTCTTGAAAAAATTAATATTTTTAAACGTTCTTAGGCTCATTGAAATCGTATTTTGTTATGCAATTCAAATTATATAAAACAATTTATGTACACATTCTTCCCTAGCGTATGCAAACCGTGAAAGTTGGCTCATAAAATGTCAAAAAATTGAAATTTAATTCTACAATAAAATATAATGTTTAAAAATCAAGTAAATATATCATTCTAAACTTCTCTGATTTATGTAAGTATGTTTGAAATTTATACATTTTACTGATCAATTTTTGTCATATAAACATTAATCACAATTTTTTGACATTTTATGAGCCAACTTTCACGGTTTGCATACGCTAGGGAAGAATGTGTACATGAATTGTTTTATATAATTTGAATTGCATAACAAAATACGATTTCAATGAGCCTAAGAACGTTTAAAAATATTAATTTTTTCAAGAGAAATAAAAAAAATAGTAAAAACATTGAAAATTGGGTTTTTCTTAGATATCTAATTGAAAAATTAACATATTCTCTTTGTCAAGGTGTCATTTCTTTCAGAATTTTATTAGCTTTAATAAAATAAAGAGGAAAAAATTTCAGTTTTAATATTTTTGAAGATTTGAACAGTTTTATAGTTGTTGAAAAAGCAGAGTTCGCACAATTTCGGACGGTAGTGTATATATGAGGCAAAATTCCTGAAATGTCCGAACAAAAAATTAAAAGTTCTCGAATTTAATCCATACTTTTCTAAAATGTTGTTAGTGTTGGTGAAAGTCTAAAAATCAATTATTATTGAATTTAATAAAATAGTTTTTGAATTACGTTTTTAATTTTTGACTTTTGAAAAAAAAAATTTTTTTCAATGTACAATATTTATAAGTAGAATGCATAAAAGTTAACATATGAGAGATTCTTTTTCAATCGCCCCAGCCCAAAAAGTCAATGTTCTGGGATTGGCTTCATACTTTGGTAAATTGTTGTCCTATATGATAGTAATAAATCCCTAAAATATAAACTAATTAAAAAAATATTTGTAGAAGGGGTGAAAATCGAAAAATAAGGGTTGATTTTGAAAAAAAGGGGTCAAAAATTTTTTTTTTAAATTTTGTATACATTTTTGAAAAGTACGTGAAAAATGCAATAAAATTCATTATAGATAAATTAAAATCCATTAACTTTTGTCATAGTTAAACGGATTTGAAAATGACAATGTTACCCTTAACGTCAAAACTTCAACCCCCTCTACTTTCTACAAATATTTTTTTAATTAGTTTATATTTTAGGGATTTATTACTATCATATAGGACAACAATTTACCAAAGTATGAAGCCAATCCCAGAACATTGACTTTTTGGGCTGGGGCGATTGAAAAAGAATCTCTCATATATGCGTCTACAGATCGTATAATTAACCCTTTCGTGCCCACGATAAACCGAGCGAATGGATTTGCTTGAAATTCGTTACTCGGGGGTTATTGGGGTCTCTGATTACGAATTTAATGTCAGATTTTAAAAATTCAAAATGGCGGATCCAATATGGCTGACAAGTTTTTTAAAAAGTGTTTAGATTGGCTCGAAATGTCCTACTCGGGGGTTTATGGGGTCGCTGATTACGCATCCGGTGTCCATTTTTCAAATTTCAAAATGGCGGATCCAATATGGCGGACGAGTTTTTTAAAAAATGCTTGGATTTCCTTGAAATTTACTACTTGGGGGTTTCTGAGGTCGATGATTACAAATCTGAAGTAATATTTTAAAAATTCAAAATGGCGGATCCAAGATGGCGGACAAATTTAAAAAATGCTTGGATTGTCTCAAAATTCTTACTGAAAGGGTTTATGGGGTCGCTGATTACGAATATGATGACAGAATTCGAAAATTCAAATATAAAAAAGGTTTTTTGGTTTGCTGATAATAAACCCGATATGGTCATGGACCCAGTACGGACAATTCATCATATTCATATCATTTCATCATTTTCGAGCAAATCCGATTAGTATTAAAATTTTTGTCCGCCATATTGGATCCGCCATTTTGAATTATTAAATTCTGACATCATATTCGTAATCAGCGACCCCAAAAACCCCCGAGTACCAAGTTTCGAGTAAATGCAATTGATTTTTAACTTTCATGTCCGCCATATTGGATCCGCCATTTTGAATTTTTAAAATCTGACATCATATTCGTAATCAGCGACCCCAAAAACCCCTGAGTAAGAATTTTCAAGCTGATTTAGTTACTTCTGCTTGACTCATTACAACCTTTTGATATCAAAACTTTAAACGCTTTTTTCTCAAAACACTATATTTAAAAATGGTAACCAGTAGAACTCAAAAACCGTTTGACCGATTTCAAAAATTCAAGTTGCATTCGATTCAGTGGAAGTTTTTGCAGGTCCTAAACCTCTAATATATTTAAAATATTCAATAATCAGGTTTTTGTGAGTGATTGATTGTCAAAAAAATGGTGTTTTTTCAGTTTTTTGGGTTCCAAAGCTTGCCATTTTTTTAATTTTTGATTTTTTTAATATCTCCAGGTGTAGGACCTGTATTAGGTCTTAAACTTTAAAATCACGTTTGATTTTTTTATTTTAGATGATTCTGCGATGAGCTACAGTGGTTACCGTAAAGGACCTTGATTTTGACCAGTGTACATAGCGACCTCTGTAGAAGGAGCATAATAATATTTTTTTAAGTCGCAATTTTTTTTAAATAGTTCTTGACGTATATAGTAACATGTAAAAACTTTTGATCAATTATATTTCGAAACTTATGAGTACACGATCTTTTAAAAGCCTTCTATTTTAGGGCAAAAAAATTTAGGAAACCCCTTAAGAAGTGATAGTTCACTATAAACCAATCAAAGTCGAAGCCTGGTGTAACACTCGGCGATTATTTCACTTGGAAAGTTTTAATCTCGTTCTCCCTTTTTATTTGGAGAAGTTGAATTCCGCCAAATTTGAATTCGAATTTAAATTATAATAATAATTTAAATGTTAATTTATTGAGTTCTTGAAATCATTTAAAATCCTAGAAAGGATTTACTTGTTTGTAATTTTATTATTTATTTCACTTATCTATTAAAGGTTGATTAATTCAATAAAACACCGTCAATTAATTTATTTTTATTTATAATTGTTTATAATAATTATAATCAATTTTGATTTTCTTTATTTAACATAAATTATATTAAGTTATTATAAATCAATTTATTCTTTTTGAAAGTTTATAATACTTATAAATGTTCGTATAAGTGTGTTGAATGTATGAAATTTAGATTATAATAAATAAGAAATAATTTTTATTTATAACATTATAAAATTTTTAATTCATTTTTTATTAAAAACATAACAATTTCCAATAATATTATTTATGTAAAATATAAAAATAATGTATTCGGAAAGTGGAAATGGAAGTTGGAATAGGAGAGACGAAATCAAGGAAGGAAACTATCAAACCCCTTTTTTAAGGCCCTCCTACGCTTTAAGCCCCTAAAATTGGGCTTGACCCAAATTTTCCAATAAGGCCCTTTTTCTCAATTAGTTTTCTCACCATATTCTTTCTTTTAAACCAATCCAAATTTCCCCAACCTACATTTTCTTTTCTGCAACAAGTTTTTCCCTTTCTATAAGAATTTTCTCTTAAACCTTCTCCCTTAAGAAAAATTGATGGTGGTATATTACACATAAAAACTTATGTTTCTGTAGAAAAAGAGATATTCTAAAAATTCAAATTTTTCTTTTAAGTTTTACACATTTTAAAAAAATTAAAAATCTTATAATATTTCTCTTTAACAAAGAATAATTTTATTTTAATATATATATACTCTAAAAAATTTTTAATTTTATTAAGTGTTTTTTACAAATTTTAAGTGTTTTACAATTTCACGTTTTTATTACAAATTTTCATGTGTTTTATTTCAAATTTCAAGTGTTTTAGTTTTCAAAAATTTTAAGTTGTTATTTTAAATTCAATTTTCAAGTGTTTATTTAAAAAAAATTTCTAAGTGACTTTAAATTAATTCCAACCTCAAAAAGGAAAGTTCAACAAAATTTCTACTAGTTCCAGGATTTCGGCTCATTTTTCCATCTTCCATCTTCATCATCTATAATCGCCATTATAGTAAAAAGTAAGTCATTTTTACATTGCTGTCTAATTCTTTTTCTACAAATCTTTTTAACAAATTTCCCAATTCCGAAGAATAGACTTTTGTTAAGCATTAGACTATTTATTCAAAAATTTTAAATTGTATCCTTAATATTTTACCCATTTATCCAAGAGAATCTAATTACTGTTGAGCAGTTACCAAGATTCTCTGATCCTTTTAACCAAAAATGTATTCCTTAAAATAAATAAAATACAACTCACACTGAAAAATTTCTGAGTTATTAGATGGAAATCTAGACTCAAAAATTGTTAATAATTTTTATAAATATTTATTAATGTTGCGTTTTCGGACGTAACATTATCACAAAAAAATACATCTTATGGTTTGTACCTCAGGACCCTCTCATCTATAAAAATATTGTAATATTTAGATATATTTTAGGAATACAGTCACATACGGAAATAGTCTAAATTGATTTATTTTTCTCAGGTAGTACAATGTTTAGATATTTAATGTTTTACATATTTCTGATTGATAATAATTATAATTTGTACATAAATTATTGAAAAATTACAAGTTGCAGTAGTTTTATAGAGGTAAACAATAATAATAATTATCATAATTAACATATTAAATGAACTTCTTAAAAAAATGTATGCTTTTGTTGAATTTCTCTTAAGATGTGCACCAGTTTGAACTGTATCGGATTTCCTCAGTTACTAAATTTTTTATTAAAAAATTAATTAATATCATGTTTTTTTAGTTAAGAAAACGTATTTTTCGTCAGTGACTGACACTTCTGAAGCTCACGTCGTCTAACGTATTTTGTGTAGGTGAATCCTGCAACAAATTTTAATAATCAATTATTATTAATATTAAGAGTGTTAGGAGTGAATAATGGATTCAATATGTCAGGCGAATTAATTAAACAATTTTATGCTAAATAAATTTTATGAAAAAGTTTCTAAAACAATTTGCTAAAAAATTGCTCTGAAAAGTATTAAAAATTTTGAGAAGAAATTTTTAAGAAATTAAAATTTTTAAGTTTTTTTAAAAATTATTTTGTTAATTTTTTAAAAAATTAAAATAATTAAATCATAAGGAAGAAATGGTAAAACAATTTTTTTAAAGAACATTTTTAAAATTTATTTTACAGTACAATTTCGGAAAGTGTCGGGTTTGATAAGTGTTGGATCTCGATATGTGTTGGATATTTTCCACGCCTATAATCTTGGCGAGTGTTGGGTACATTTCTCCTACTTTTGCGTGCGCATCAAAAACCAGCGCCGTATAAAAACGTTTTCAAATATGTACGTTAATAAAATAAAAATAATGTTTTTAATTATGAATTTGAAGTAGACAAATTGAATTTTAATCTAACTATATATTAAAATATTATTTAATCTTTTATATCCGAGAAGAATTATATATTATACATTAATAAACAAGAAGCAAGCAAGAAAGTAGTTTACCAAAAAGAAAAATAGCAGAAATGTTTTATATAAAAAAAGAAAAAGGCAAAAGTTTAAATATAATGAATGATTTAGCAAATTTTGACTCTACATATAATAGACTTTTAAAATTATTATAATTATTACTCTTTAATCTGTTTATATCTGAGAATCTGTTTTTCGTAAAAAAGACTTTCAAATTCTTGTAAAACTCCGTATATCATAACGTCTTTATGAAACGTTGCGTTGCTTACATAATACTTATCCTATCTTATTTTCCACATGTTATATGATTCTATGTTTTTGTCAGTTAATGGTTGTGATTCAACTAAAATGGATCAAAAAATCCATTATAATATTAATAATTTTTTTAAATTCTCATTTTTAAATACTTTAATTTTTTACACAACTTTTTTCAAATTATAAAAATTTCTTAATAATGCTAACAGGTATGTTCTGACTTTAATAATAAAAAGAATTAAAAAATCTTAAATTACTACATAAACAATATTCTTTTCAGAAATGATCCTTTATTTGATTCACAACTATTCTGAAAATTTAATTCCTCAGAATTAATTGGTAGATATGTAATTTTCTTTTTTTTTTGCATTTTTTGAATTTATAACCTTAAAATAGTTCTAATTGTAACATTACTCTTTTAGATGAAATAAATTCTGATGAGGGAATCGGTACCGCTTCCGAAACGTTAAAGATGTTTCTTAATATCTTTTACTTGTCCTATATAAAGCAATTAAATCAAATTTTACAATATTTATAATTAATTGGGACATAAAGAATTTTAATTATTAATAAGCATTGGAAGACACCATGATACGACACTGTCTGCCACCCCACCACTACTCAAGGGGCAATCCGACACTTATCAAATGTCGTCGTCCCGACCACCCGACACTTACCGAAATTGTACTGTACTTATCTTTTTTGTTTATTTTATTTCAAAAATTATTTTCAGCATTTCTTCTTTTTATCCTGCAATTTAATTTACAAAAAGGGCACAATATTTGACACAAGTCTTTGTGTTATCTAGGCAATTTTCTCCGTTCAGAAAACTTCAATTAGTTGTCAACTAGATCTTGTAAAAAATAAAAACCCACTCCCTGATAAGTATGCTTCTTGATTAAAAATAGAGGTGTCCGAGGGTTAAATGTCAAGAACTTAACTCTTTCTAAAACATCTTCAGCAGCGTTGACTTTTGGCGGCCTTGCAGGTATTCCTTTTTTCGGTTCCTCTTCCATCTTATGAATCATCTTATAAACACTTGAATTCATCAGGTGATCGAAATTTGGAAGAGCTGTTTTCTCAAATTTCTTGAAATTCACTCTAAAATAATATTATATTTTTTTAAACGCACAAAAATTTATTAAATGTTAAAAGAAAAAATATCAATTACACAGGCAGACAAGATTTACTTTCCAAGAATCAGACAATATTTTTCCGAAGGTTTTCGACGTGCTGAATCCGAATCCGACCTCAGAATTGACCATTCACGTCAGGTTTATGAGATATTCTAACCTTAAGGGGGGAAACTCGTGTAGATGCACGTTTTTTCAGGAATTTTTTTTAAAAAACTGGTAAAATTTTTTGAATTAAAGTAAAGCACACTTTAAAGTACACAATATTAGCTTTATAAAAAAAAATTTTTTATTAAAAAATATTACAAAATGGCGGCGTTACAGGCCAACAGTGGGCCAGGATCGCCGATTTTTGGACAAAACCCTTCTTTTCTATAAACGTTAGTTTAACACATTTTTGGTATTTAGAGACATCAAAGTATGTAAAAATAAAGTATTATGTCATTCTGATCATTTAGTTTTTTATAGAACGTGATCAAACATCAAATTTCAAAATTCAATATCTGACTGTTAAATTAATGATTAATGTTAAAGAACGTGATAATATTTTTGCAAAACATTTAAAAAAGTTTTTTAAACCCAACAATCAAAGTAAAAAATACTACTTAGGGCGATAAAGTATTTTAGAAATAGACCACACGATATTGTTAAAGGATTTTTTAACAGAAATTTAATTATTTTAAGCCTAGTGTGCTCTGCCGTTTGCTTATAACACGGCATAACACTCGATATGGATTATTTCAATGCATAATTTTGTTTTTTATAATATGTACTTTGACACCTTGCTGTACCATTTGCACATTTTTGCATTTCGTTCAACAAATAACAATTTACTGTTCAAGTACATAATATGGAGCTCTATCTTGCACGAGGTAATTCTATATGGGTAACACTTTAAAAAAAAATTTCTTAAACCTCGTGATTCTTCTCGCATTCCGCATTTCTAAATTTTTTGATTGCTGATTACAAATAAGAAATTAAAATCCAAAATGTCGGACACATAAATTTTAAAAATAGTAAATTTTCATGAAACTTGATATCTAAGGATTTATGAGGTCGCTAAAAGTAATGGATTTTTATAAAACTCGGTATTCAGTTTTTTTTTTGAATCGTTGATTTCGAATTTGAAAGCAGATTTCACAAATTAGAAATAGCTGACACAAATTTTTCAGAATCTCATGAAATCGAAATTGACATTAATAAATTTCATTGTTTTATTTAAATATTATTATACTAGTCGTGCTTCTGCATTATTGCATTGGTAAATTAAAGTTACACAAGCTAGCACTAGCTTCATCGTACTTGACCAAGTTGCGCTACATTGCATTGCACCGGCACCGCACCGCGTGACTGGCATATGTAAGAATTTGTTTTATTCTTTAATTCATTGTTGAGATCCTAGCCATTAAGCTACAGAAAAATGTATCGAAATTAATACTAACTAGCTGTGACGTACTCGACCAATTTGCGGCGCGGCGCTAACTTGACCGTCCGCGCTTTTATACTTTACTGCTTTAACTGGCATAAGGTTTGTCATTCAATCATCAAAGAAAAAAGAATTGAGTTTTTAAACAAAAGCACAGTTTGAAAAGTAATCTGTTAATATGGCCCAATTCACAAAACAAGAAATACTTGAAATTATTGTTTTAAATGACAATGTCTCTGAAGCTTTAGATTACATTTTATTAAAACTAAATATTAGAATCGAAAATATTCTCCTGAAAAATCTACAACAATTAAAATTTTCTCTTTCAGCTTTGAAAAGTAGGCGTAACCAAAGATATCAAGAAGTTCACAGAATAAAAGAAAGATTTGAAATAAAAAATAAAAACTGGTTAGATTCTGAATTTATAGTTGATGATATTATAACTGTTGACAGTAATGAAAGAGCTTCTTTTTTATCAGCACATTCAGGTAGGCCTCGTTTACCTTTTAGAGAAAAATCTGATCGATCAAAAAGAAGAGATATTGCAAATATTATTCAAAGTGTTGATAACCATCCAGAAAGAATATTACTTGCTTGTCGGCAAGCAGCTACAGTTTCTAAAGATAAAGATTTTTTTACCGCTATTAATGATATATTAACCAATCGGAGTTCTGAACAGCCTAAGAAGATTAGAAAGTTATTAAATAAAGAATCAGTTTCAATTATAAAAAAGACACCTGAAGAAGCTTTAGCATTTTTATTAGACAATTCACTGACAAAAAATTTTTATACAAATATGCGGTTAGAAGTGAAAGCTTGTGGAGCAGATATTTGTCCACCTTACAATGATGTTCGGGAGGCAAAGGCTACGTGTAGACCACCTAAGGAAGCAGTCTTAGTCCAAAAAACTAAAGTGGAAGTTACGCTTCAAGCGCTTCTTAATCATACATCAGAAAGATTAATAGATTAACAGCGAGAAGTTATTCTTCAGTACATGGACAACACAGAGAGTTCAGTAATTGAAACTGTATTACTGTGCTCTTGGGGTTTTGATGGCAGCTCCAGTCATTCCCAATATAAGCAAAATTTTAAATCTAGTGAATCTAATTCAAATTTAACTTATGATGATGCCAACTTGTTTGCAACAACTTTGATTCCTCTACGAGCACTAATAATGATATTCTATGGAACAATAGAACTTCACAGTCAGCTAGATTCTTTCGCCCTATCAAAATTCAAACTACTAAGGAATCTGTACCTCTTATTTTAAGTGAAATAAAGTACATAAAAGAACAGATTAATCATCTTAAAATTTTGACGGTTAAACTTGATGAAACTCATCAAATTAAAATTCATTTTTCCTCGTTCCCAACCTTAATAGATGGTAAAGTTTTGAATGCTATAACAGAAACTAAATCCATGATGACATATCCTATTTGCCACGCAACTCCTAAGACTTTCAACGATTTAACTAAAAAACAGGCGGTCGTTTTTTTCCAAATTCGAATTCACTAATACATGGAATAAGTCCACTACACGCCTGGATAAGAATTTTTGAATTTTGTATTAATGTATCATGCAGGGTTGACATAAAAATCACAAGGTTCGGGAACTAGTAACGATGGCAATACCGCTCGTAGAGCTTTTGAAGATCCTGAACTTCTAGCTGAATGTCTCGGTTTAAATTGAAAGCTTCTAAAAAACCTTAAAACAATTTTGATCGCTATGTCTCTCCAGCATCCACTTGATGCAGACAAATTTTATATTTTGTGTTATGAAACTGCTGAAATATATGTGAAAAATTATTCCTGGTTTCCAATGTCCGTTACAGTTCATAAAATTCTTATCCACGCTAAGGATGTAATAACTACAAGTGAAGCTCGAAATAAACATTTTAAAAATTACAGAATCAATCACAGTAGAAAAATGGATCGAGAAGCTACGTTATCTGATGTATTATATAGATTAATGGGCACATCAGATATTAAGATATCCAGTTTAAATATTAAATCGCGTCGAAAAAAGAAAAAAATGTTGAACAATTATATTCTTTAATATTTTATGTAGTTCTCACTTTACATATTACAAACTTTTCTTGTTTTTATCTTCGCGTCGTTTTGTTCTTAAAAAAATATTTGTTTCGCAAGTTGTGTGAGACCTTTTAGACGTGTTGTAATTATTTATTTTTCACCTATTGTAAAAAGATATTTATTATCTTACGTTACATATTATAAACTTTTCTTGTTTTTTCTTCGCGCCGTGTTGCGTTTAACAAATTATTTGTTTCACAAGATGTGTAAGACATTTTAGATGTGTTGTAAATATTTATTTTCCACCTATTGCAAATAGTTTAAGCTGTATATATTGTAAATATTTCTTGTTCCGGTATACTAATAACAAATTTGTTTACATAGTACTCACAAGCTTCAACTAAAGTGAAACCGAAACCCATCATGATTCGATATTATCGATATTTCAAATCTGACTTCAGATTCGTAATCAGCGACCCCAAAAACAGTAAATGACATAGCTAATAGTTGTAAATTTTTGTTATTTTGAGAATTATGAATTTTGGCCAAAAATATGCGTTCCTGGCCCACTGTGGCGTTGAAATTTGCATCTTTGATTTTGCGCCGTGCAGCCTACAGGTCAAAAATCTCAACTAAAATTAAAAATCAAAAATTTTACCGTTTAAATAAGCAAATACGCTTTGCATGACGAAGAGAAAACTAAAAATTTTTTTTTTGAAAACTTGGGACCATTTTGAAAAAAAACACTTTTTTATAAACAATGTTCAAAAATAATTGTTCAAAAAATTTAAAAAAAGTAGCTCGTCACGCAATAGCCAGTGAGATAAAGAAGATTTGCGGTAAGTTTGATTAAAATCGGTGAAAAATTGGTTGAGTTACATTGCACGGCGCGCGAAAAAACACGTTTCTAGAAAAACGCGTATAAATTTTTCGATGCACAAAAGTAGTGTTTTAACTATTGCCTTGAAGACGTTATGTATTCGAAAATAACTATTGCACAAAAACCAAAATTTACTATCACTTGCTTATGGTGCTTGTTAATGACAACTAATAAAATTATATTGACAAAAAACCGAAATTTGGTTGCATCTGAAGTGCTAAACTTATGTTTACTATAGACATTCATACATCTAATTATAGATTAGTAATTTAGGATCATATTCTACAGATATTGAACTAATTTTTAAAGCAAGAAAAAAAAATTTTTTTACACGAGTTTCCTCCTTTAATGTGCAAAAAAACCGTTTTTAACTGAATTTGAGGTCATGCAACATCAAGAGATAATTTTTTTTCAAAAGGTCAATATTGAAATTGAAAATGCTATTCTTTCTATGTAAAACTCATTTTGAAAAATTAAAAAATCTTCATTTTTCTTTGAGTAACCGTTCACTTAATTTTCTAAGTATGGCGAATTCTTCGATATTCCAAAACTGAATAGGAACAGATAAAACTTCGATAATAGAAGAGAATATAACTACAAACATCTCAATTTCAAATAGTTTTGCAGATTTT